TCGTCTGCAATCTGATGCTCACATCCAAAATAGAAGCTTATATTTCAATTTAGACCATTTTACTTTTTAAAAAGGCATCTAATTATGCTTTAATCAACTCCATACTCCTTTTAAATAAACAATAAAACATGTATTATCTTTATTTTAAGATAAATGAGTTTAGAAAATGCTTTAGTTTTTACATATGGTCTTCCATTTTGTCTAAACTAATTTAAATGAGTGTACTGATTTGCCACACACCCCTGCCCCTCTGTAACAGAAGAACACACCTGCTTCATTGTCCCTATGCGGCAGCACTGCCCCCTATCGGTGAGGCAAGGAATGTCTGTCTCACCTCTGTGTTTTTCAGCGTGCACTATGACCGACTAGAAAGAATAAATATGTCACACACATTCATTCAACACATTAGACAGACTGTAGAACATCAACTGCCTCACAACATGCACTGCCTCACCTGCCGGCACGTCACTGGTCTAGACCCGAATAACTCTTGGAGTCAGTCCAATTCAAAATGGCTGCCACGGTCTGCCCATATTAAACACAATAATGAGTGTAACACGGTCAGATTTAGAGATACAGAGCTCAAACTTCTATAATGGTAGTTATGAGATCTGCACTAATGCATGCTCAATATTGTTTTTCTTTCGGCTGCTCCTTCTTCAGGGGTCACCACAGAGAACTAACTCGCAAGAAGACTTGACGTTTGTTTTTATACTGGATGCCCTTCCTGATCCAACCACAGACACCGAGCTACCACAGCCTCTGTGTGGAGCAAAGAGATGCATCTAGGGCGCCCGGGGGAGCAGATGGTGGGGGTTAAGGGTCTTGCTCAAGGGCCCAGAGTGGGGCAAATGAGGGTGGAGGCAGGTGTGGGTGCTTCACCTTTCCCATCTACATGTTGTTGGTCCGGGGAGTTGAACCGGTGAACTCACAGGCCCACTTTTTCTAACCTCTTCCCCACAGATAATAGTGAAGTGAAAAACTTAAAACACAAGAAATAAGACACAATTTATTAAATTGTTACTTGTTCTTTTCATTTGCTCTTCCCCTTATTTCATCTTGTCACTCAAAAAACTGCCTCTAATTATTTAACTAGTTTCTTCCACTGATGAAATGCCTATATTTAGCAAAAACTATATTTATTTGGAGCTCCAAGCTCACAGAAAAGAATAGATATGCACTTTTATAACGACCTCTCCCTCCTCATCACTTTCAGTTCATTTCTTGCCTCATTCAGTTTCCATCACTGAGGAGAAAAGGTTTGAAAGCTCAGTCATCCAGGTAGACAACAACAAATAAAGGTTCAATCGTCATGTGGACTCTTTTTTTAAGTGAAACTGTCCAGATGACATGATTTAACCTTTGTGTTGTCACTGAGTAACTTCCCTATGTCTAAACTTGACGTCCCTGATTTCCAAATCAGGGACGTCTGGTCACCCTAAGAGAAACCTCACTGCTAACAGTGTCATGCTGCTAACTGGACCATGTTGCTAAGATAACCTCGCTGTCATCAGGACCACTCTGCCAGTTGGACCATGCTGCTCCAGATTTATTGCTTTTTCACTTTTGGCACCTTCTTTCTGTATTTTTGTTGCGTGCTTGGAATGAATCCTAGTGTATGTTAGTTTACTTTTAGCGTCCTGTTTGGCATTTGTTTAGCGTACATCTTAGTTTAAATCTCAGATCCTTTTTTACTGTTTCTTCTTACACTTTATATTTTTGCTATTGTTTGATGTAGCTGGGACTCTGTACATAATTTTGTTCTACTACATGTACCACATGTGGTGTGAATGACAATAAAGAATCTTCGACTCTGACTAATAAACAAAAACCCAAATAAATGTCCCGCAGGCCCAACCCAGTCTGTCATCATCAACGTGGCTCTCTGGAAAGCTGCAGCTAAACTGAGAGCACTGGGGGATATAGCTCCTTTCCATCTTATCAAGATATTCAAACGGAATTATTTTGATGCAAAGGCAGTTTTAACAAGAGTCTGTATCTTGTAGGAACATGTGAGAAAACAATTTTCTTGTATTAGTCACTTTTTTACCTGCGGTGTTTGTTGCAAAGCTATGAGCTCACAAAGAAAGAGTTGCCCATAACTTCCAAACTAGACGAGTGAGTTCGCACCAGACAGGGCTGCTTAATATGAAGACAAAAATATTAGTTAACATTATAATCCCAAAGAATGAAAATGAATATCCACTGAGTTTGGAAACACCGCATGCATCGCACTAAGACCTCCTTATTTAACTGCCTTAAATGCTGTTTTTATATATATTTATTTCCACAATAAACTAATAATTTTATAAAGCTACCTCAGCCAGAAAAAAAAAATTACAGTCCATTAAAAAAAGCCTCTTTAAGGGCCTTTAGTTAAAAAAAAATACTCTGCATTTCATTTATTTTAAAAAATCCACTTTTTTAAATTCAGGGCCATTTAAAATAAATAAGTAAACAAATAAATAAATGAATAACTCATGCGTGGAGTTTTGTAAAGACTCTCCAGCTGACTGGACTTTCAGGATCAGGTAGCTGAAGATGAGGCTTTAATTGTCAAATTTACACAAGTGGATCAGTTTTTAAAATCTGTTATTTACTTATTATTATAGTTTTTTTTAACATTTTTCTGTCTAAAGTCAGAGGCAGCACGGTGGCGCAACTGGTAGAATCGCTGCCTCTCAGCAAAAAGGTTGCCGGTTCAAATCTCAGTCCGGGGGCCTTCCTGGGTGGAGTTTACATGTTTTCTTCGTGCATGCGTGGGTTTCCTCCCACAGACCAAAAACATGCATGTTAGGCTGATTGGTAACTCTAAATTGTCCCTAGGTGAGAGAGTGAATGGTTGTTTGTCTCATTTGTCTCTATGTGTCCCTGTGATGGACTGGAGACCTGTCCAGGGTGTCCCCCGCCCCTCACACAGTGATTGCTGGACATGGGAATCGGCGACCCCCGTGACCCAAAATGGAAGAAGCGGATAAAGATAATGGATGGATGGATGGATGGATGGATGGATGGATGGATGGATGGATGGATGGATGGATGGATGTCTAAAGTCCATTTTTGCCAATGGCAGTTTCTGTTTTGTTTTTTGCTTTTACTGACCCGGATAGATACCGAGCTGCTGCAGCACGATGCATTCGCTACTGACGTCCTGTTTTCGGTCAAGCCAACAGGAGTCAGCCATTGTGAGCCGTACAGCGTCTGCTTCTGCAGCCTGCATGCATGTGGAACTGCTTTTACTCTTTGTACTGAATTTTTACTTGTGCAGCTTGTAATTCTGTTTTTGCTCTTTGCACCCAAACTAAAACATTTTGTCGGATGAGGTGAGAGACTGAAATCAACAGCAACATTCAGCCAGAAAAGATTAAAAGACCCTCTGAAAATACAGAGGGTCTCAAATGAAACAGAGGAGCACCTCTAAAAAACATACCTGCAAACTCTCAAGGGGTGAAAAAGATGACAAACCTAGTGCCTGTAGTGGGGGAGGGGTCTGTGCAATATTGTTTCCCTACTGAAATGTCCTTCACCTTCACTGAACCGACTGACGTTGTAGGCTAACGTTGACGCACAATTCACTGATGTTAGCTAACATCCTAGCTTAAATTACATGCTCACAAGCTTTCCATGACAGATAACATCACTACTATTCAGTAGCTTTCAACACAAGATGATCTGTGTCTTGATCCTGTATGCTCCACACTGGTTAGTCGTCATTATCTGCATCGGTTTTTATGTCTATATTCTGATTTACCTCATTTTGTATTTTGCTTTGTGTGTTACCTGTTGTTCTGTCTGTACAGCACTTTGGTTGGTCTTGTTGCTGTTTTAAGTGCTTTATAAATAAAGTGGTATGGTATGTTGGAGAACATAACAGATTATGACTCACAAGACGTTACTAAAGAAGGATTATGTTTTTGCCAGATTAAGTATAACTTATTATCTCATTGGCAGATAATGAGATTTACCTTAAAACTAAGTGTCCAACAGTAGAAGTGACTATAAGGAAGACCATTTTCCTTTGTCCATGGGAAAGACTTTCCTGTCATCTATCCTCATTGTGATTTCCCAAATGATTCACATTCCACCAAAGATGTTCTGTTGTAGACAGAAACTTTGTTGTTTCTTAAAGTCCAGTCAGTGGGAAATTATGCCATCTACCACACCTCTGACCCCGCCCCCATCATATTTAATTTGAAATTGGCAAATTTACCTGAAAAGCACCAAGTTTGCAGGTATGAATATAAAAACCAAAACTATAGAAATATAGGTAAAAAAAAGAAAAAACTATACTATGAGGAATGCATTATTTGATGATGTACAGTAGTCCATCGCTACTTCACAGTTCGTTTTCACACACTCGCTCTATCGCGGTTTTTCAAAATAAGATTGGACATGACACACAATTGGCTGACTGATGGATGAGCCACACGATCGGCATGGAAATTTTATTTAAAATAAATTATTTAGCACCTCCTGCATCTTTGTGCAGTCCATGCTGCAGGATAAACTTCCTGCTCCAGCTGATCAGCTGCTCTCCATGCAGAGTGTAGAAGTGGGTGTGGCCAAGAGCGCTTGCAGGTGGCAGAGAGCAGCGGAGGCAGAGAGCTGAAATTATGACATTCTGTGCTTTTTTAGAGCATTTAGAGTTTAGAAACATTGTTTAATATTGCAAGAGTGTGGGAAGGGTTTAAAATGACTCTCTCTCTCTCTCTATATATATATATACATATATATATATTTATATATACACACATATATATATATTTATATATACACACATATATATATATATATATTTATATATATACACACACACACACACACATACATACATACATACATACATACATACATATATA